CTTTGTGTGTAAAAGTGGGTCGTCTGGTTTAATATTCGACGATTTATGAAATATATTCATTCAATATTTGAATACAATAACAACAAATGGTTCGTGCATATAAGGGAAACTGATATTATGCATGAATATAAGGGAAACTGAAATACGCATGCAGATTCGGCCATTAATTTTGATTGAACATAATTGTAGCCACAACTAATACTACAAATGCATATAAAGGAAACTGAAAATCCCTTAATTTTCTGATGAGACACGAATATCCCCTTCTTGAATAAATATAAAATATATCGTAGAAAAACATATAACAAAATCGTTCTATAGGCATGTTGAATAAAAATTTAAAATTTAAATATATGCCCAGTAGACAATAAGGAATTATGAAATAAGGTGATAGCATTTGCGATTTTTATTTATACTTATGTAACGAAATATATTTTGAATAAATCGTACAAAAACATGTAACAAAATCATTCTATATGCATGTTTTATATTACATATTACATTTACAATATATATATATATACATAAAATATATCATACAAAAAAATATAACAAAATCGTTCTATAGGAAAATTTAAAATATAAAATATAAAATTTAAATATATGCCCAGTAGACAATAAAATGAAATCGTTCAAAAACATGTAACACAAGCCTTCTATATGCATGTTTTATTAATAGTAGTTCACTATATGCGAGGAGTAAATGTGCCATTGCCTATTGCTATATCAATTGTTATATCATATATATATATTTATATCAATGGCATGTTGTGTATACGTATGTGGTATATTTATATCAATGACATGTTGTGTAATTGTTCTATTTAACTAAGTTCTTTTAGTTTAAAGGGGTGAGAAGGTTTATGGAGTTGCCACGTAGGAAATGGTATGATTGTAATAAACACATGAGGTAAAGGTTTCTTTTCAAAAGTTCTCCTCAAATAATAAGAAGGGGATTTAGTATGTAAAAATACAAAGAAAATAGGTAGGTATGATGGTTTGATGAGGTTGTGCACCCATGTTGTCTTAGGTTCGAGTACTCCTTTTGTCAATTTTGAGATTTTGCACCCATAGAAATATTATTCTAGCTTTGCCCCCTGATGATACATGCATAATACAATTCAAAGACGGATATATATATATATATAAAGACAGAACAAAGCATATTCTAACAAAAAAAAAATACCACCCATAATCTGTTGAAAAATGGTGATGTTCGTGTCATGCAAGTTTGTTCAAGTGAAAATTCGGCTGATATGTTCATAAAGACACTTCCAACTAGTACACTCAAATAATTATCTCATCTTATTGGACTACATCATTTCAAGAATCTCGAGTGATGTCTGTAAGAAGGGGAATAATAATACATATTGCATTTTTTTCTTTAACTATTATTTTTTGCAGTGAATTTTCTTAATAAATTTTTTAAGTAACGTTTTATTCGTATTTAGAAATGGTAATTATGGATCTGGACTGTGGATTTAGCCCATAAAGAATTATCGCGGGATGGTATCGGGACGAGGTTTTCTAGGCCCACAAATTTGTGAGCTTTGCGGGATGGGTCTTTGCGAGACTGGGTCTTTTGCGGGATAGGCCGAAACGGGTCCCGCGGGATTACAAGGACCTGCATTTTTTTCTTTATTTTTTGTTTTAAGTGGAAAAAATGAGAGAATGAGTGAGAAGAAGATAATGCATGTGACTTCCCTTGAAAAAACGTAAGGAGCTCGGACGATGATGATGATTTGAGCTTCGATGATAATGATTCGAGCTCCGGTTATGATGACTACAACTCCATCGATGACGATTCGAGCTTCAGTAGTGTTTTGATTTGGTTTCTTTTTTATTTAATTTGGGATTGACATTTTTGATTTAGTGTTTCATCTTATTTATTTTTTGGATTCAGCAAACTAAAACATTGGTTATGAACTTATGAGTTATAAGATATGAAAAATATTTTCTGCAATTATTTTTATTTTATATGTTAATATGTTTTGGGTGTGATACAAATAATTACAATTATTGTTTTGAATAAAAAAATAAGCAAATCAATGATTGATGAATTATGTTCAGTTGAATCGACGACTTGAACTATGTTCTAAAATGGCCTAAAGCGTTTCGGAGGGATCTGAATCGTTCAGCTGAGCATATTATCACGTGTCCCGCGGGACGGACCGCGAAGGCCTACAAGAAATGTGGTACGGGATTGGGCTGCTGTTTTCAAAACCGCATCCCACGCGGAATAGGCCCGCCGCATCCCGCTAGAAGACGAACTCGCAACGGTCCGGGACGGAAGAGCCCAATTACCATCTCTATTCGTATTACAAACCATTTTATCATAATGGACAACAGTAAAAATGTTATGGATAATTACATAGATGAATGATCATTATGGAATTTACCTTCTAAAATATTATAGTTATTTTTGGATAAAGTTAACTCTTTTAATTGTATTCCTATATAACGGATCATTTACCTATGGAATAAAGAGATACACACTATTTTTCCCTCGCAACATTTTTCTGTTAATCTTGTAAACCATAGTAGGTTGAAAATGTCACATAATAAATTAGAAAAGAACTTGGATAAATTTATAGCTTGGTGTTACTTTTCTTTAAAACACCTAAGAGTATCTCCAAAAGAAACTCTATAACTTAAAATATAGAATTTTTTGTTCTTCAAAAAGAAACTTTAAAACTTCAAATTTGAAATTTTGAAGAGTGAAACTCTATATTTGAAGTTTCAATTCTCAAAACTCTAAATTTGAAGTTTCACTTTTTTAATTGCATTTTTTGTCCTTATAATTACAAATAAAAATTATAATTCATAAATATTTTCTTGTTTATCGTTTTAATCCTTAAAAAATTTTATATCTCATAAATAATTCAAGTTAACTTTGAATTTTTTATAAATTTAAGTTTTATACATAAAACTAAATAAAAATTTATAAATTTTTTTATATATATGCTTGTAATTTAGTATTTTTGAAGATTTTAAAACTAAAATTAGACAACAAAAATATGGTATTCTACTTGTAGTTAATATTTAATCATGTATTTATATTTATATTTACAATTTTATATTTTAGTGTAATATTTTATTAATTAATATTGTTGTATAATTTATATATATATATATATATATATATGTGTGTTTGTTATTTATAAATGTTTTATGAATTTACATTAACTAAGACAAATATAAGGATCAAAAATCAAAATATAAATAATTTTGAAGTTAAGTTTAAAGTTTTGTTTTTGGAGAATAACATTTTGAAATTTCAAATATAGAGTTTTGGAAACTTTAAAATAGAGAGTGTTTTTGGAGATGCTCTAAGAGAGAATAACATCGATAACCTTTTCAAAATATTTATCAAATAAACTTTTATATATTGGAAATTCCATATTTAGTTTAAATATATTACTTATTTGGTTTTATGACATGTAGGATAAGATTTTAGTCAATTTTTTTTTTTTGAAATTTAGTTATGTTTTGAATTTGATCTCCTAGACATTATGATGTGATCTGTATTATCTCCTACCAAAAAAGTAGAAGAAAACGTTCAAGTCTATGATTATGATCTGTTAGGGCTGGGCATTTTATCCGTTATATTTGATTCGATCCGTTATTCGTTTCGATTCGATCCGAAAATTCCGGATATCCGTAAACTTTCGAATCAAAGAAAATACTAAAATTCAATATCTGTTAAAATCGAAGCAAATCACAAATATTAAAATTTTGGAAAGCGGATATCCGATCCGATCCGTAAATATATAAATATATGTATATTTTGATTATATTAAAAAAATTTAATTGTATACAATTATATAATTATTATTTTAGAACATGATTTTGAACAATTCTATTCTAATTATTACTTATATAAAAGTATTACATAAAAAGAGATAAAATATTTTTGACAATTATATTTTTTTCTTAAATTTTGTGTTATTATAATTGTAACTTAAACTTTAAAAAAATTACAAAATCTATAAATTCACTAGTTCTTTTAAGTTTTATTTTATATATCATGCAAAAAAAATATTTTTGCAAAGCAAATTTGTATCAAAATCTTAAGATTATTTGTACTAATTAAAATGGATGAGATATCCGTAAATATTCGTAAATATCCGCAAATATCTATTTATTTTCCGGATATCCGGAAAAACGGATATCCGTATTTTTTCGAAGCAAAGCAAATACCAAAATTAGATATCCGTAACATTCGAAGCAAATCACAAATACCTTAAAAAACCCGGATATCCGATCCGTGTCCACCCCTATGATCTGTGTTATCTCTTACCAAAAAAGTAGAAGAAAACGTTCAAGTCAACAAAGACCGCAGCCAAATTACTAAAAGAGGGTGGTCTTCTATTTTAAAAGAGACACATTTTGCTATAAGAACAGTGACTCTGTAATACAAATTCAAATATAAATTGTCAAGTTCGTGTTGCTATTTAAGTTCAGAGAGAAATATTCTTGAAAAAGGTTGCTACCGTCATAAAGAACACCACCAGGTAAATTTGTTTTTAACTTTTGATCCTCTTAAATACTGTTAACCTTAGTAAAAGATGAATCTTTTTTAAAAATAGTTGTTTTCACTTGCTAACCTTGGTGCATATTCTCTTTTTGGGTTGCATATTGTAAGAAAGATGTGTTATCTATTAAAGACTTTTTTTAATCTGGTTTTAGTCATTTTAAATTATACAATCAACTATTTTTGCAGTTGAGGATTAGATACGGTTAGGAAGATATCTCTTTAAATCTTGTATTCTAAATTATTATTTTTTTGTTTTTACTCAATTGCAAAATTCCTAAATCATTTTTTTGTCAACAAATTCATAAATCATTAAATTTCGAGAAATAACTAGTCGCAAAATAGCAACATTCAATATAGATTTATGAACTAACTTTTTATTTTTTTCGGTTCACTTTTGTTGTCGTCGAAACTAGCCAGTCCAATACAGCGACAATCTAATCCTCAATTTCGCATCGACGACCTTACAAAATTCGTTCGGTTCAGATTAATTTGACAACGAAATTAAACCGGAAAACCCAGACAACGCCACGTGGCAATTGTACCTCACCCAAAACGCACTCCATATAAGCTCTCCTCTCCTACCTTTTCAACAATCACCAACGTGTGATTGTTTGTTCCTCCACTCACTCCAATTAAACAAACAATAAAAAAGAGAGATGGCGGCTACTAACTTCCGTGACATCGACGACCTCCCCAAAATTCCGGCGAACTACACCGCGTTGACTCCCCTCTGGTTCTTAGATAGAGCTGCGGCGGTTCATCCGACGAGGAAATCGCTGATTCACGGATCCCGTGAGTACACGTGGCGACAAACTTACGAACGATGTCGCCGTCTAGCTTCCGCTCTCGCCGATCGTTCGATTGGCCCTGGTTCTACGGTAACCGCTCTTCCTCTTCTTTGATAATCATTTAATATTTAATTTCCCGAAATATCGACCGAACCCGAGTTGACTCTGTCTGAAAACTTCATTTTCATTTTCTTCAGTTTCGATGCGAACATTTATCATTTTATTTCGTCTCCGGTTTAAATAGAAATTTTGTTATTGTTCCGGTTCGGGTTAACCGTTTTGGTTAAGAGTATATGTTGTTGGCAAAAAAAAACGATTTCATTCATAAAATCACAGATTAACCATAAATGTTCTGAGTCTTTAGCTTCTTAAGTTCGTATGATTGCTCTCGCAAGAATCTTGTTCATCAATTATATAAATGAAATTCTGTACCACCGGTTTGGATACTTGAACCGTTCATGTCGATATTGTATCTTTGGTTTGGATACAGAACCGTTTTTTTTTGTTTGAATATATATTGTTAGCAACAAAAACGATTTCATTTAGAGTCTGATTTCCGATGATTTCATAAAATCAAAGATTAACCATATATACTGGTTATGTTTTTTTTTTAATACACTGGTTTTTTTTTTTTGTACACTGGTTATTTTGATGTTGTAATTTACCTTTTTTCATGAACTAGAACTAGTTGCTTTGGTCTTATTGCAATCTGAATAATTGCATTTTTCTTTTTGCAGGTGGCTATAATAGCACCCAACACTCCAGCAATGTACGAAGCTCATTTCGGAGTACCAATGTGTGGAGCCGTCTTGAACGCCGTCAACATCCGTCTCAACGCCCCCACTATCGCTTTCCTTCTCGGCCATTCTCAGAGCGCTGTTATCATGGTGGATCAAGAGTTCTTCCCTCTCGCAGAGGAGTCTCTGAGACTCATGGAGGAGAAAGCTGGAAGCAGCTTTAAACGCCCGCTGCTAATCGTCATAAGTGATCACACGTGTCCTCCAGAGTCACTTCACCGGGCTTTGTCAAAAGGAGTCATAGAGTACGAGGATTTTCTTGGAACTGGAGATCCTAACTATCAGTGGGAGACACCAGCTGATGAATGGCAGAGCATTGCTCTTGGTTACACCTCAGGAACAACCGCTAGTCCTAAAGGAGTTGTGCTTCATCATCGTGGCGCGTATTTAATGGCTTTGAGTAATCCTCTTATTTGGGGGATGCAAGAAGGTTCTGTTTACTTGTGGACTCTCCCTATGTTTCATTGCAATGGTTGGTGTTTCACTTGGGCCACTGCTGCGCTCTCCGGTACTAACATCTGTCTCCGTCAGGTACTACTGCTTGAGAGAGCTTTAATCTTCACTTTAAGAAGTTAACATACTCATATGATCTTTTGTTTGTTTCAGGTTACTGCGAAAGAAGTGTATTCAAGCATAGCTAAGTATAACGTTACTCATTTCTGTGCGGCCCCTGTGGTTCTCAACACTATTGTCAATGCTCCTCAAGAAGACACTATCCTCCCCCTTCCCCATACGGTCCACGTCATGACCGCAGGAGCTGCTCCTCCACCTTCTGTTCTCTACTCCATGAACCAGAAGGGCTTCCGAGTCACTCACACCTATGGGCTTTCCGAGACATACGGTCCTTCCACCGTATGCGCTTGGAAGCCAGAGTGGGACTCCCTCCCTCCCGAGACGCAGGCCAAGCTCAATGCTCGCCAAGGTGTACGCTACATCGGCATGGAGGAGCTCGATGTCATCGACACTCTGACCGGAAAACCTGTCCCTGCAGACGGTAAAACCGCCGGAGAGATCGTTTTCCGAGGGAACATGGTGATGAAAGGATACCTAAAGAATCCAGAAGCTAACAAAGAGACTTTCGCTGGTGGGTGGTTTCACTCGGGTGACATCGCGGTGAAGCATCCAGACAACTACATCGAGATCAAGGACAGGTCAAAAGACATTATAATCTCTGGCGGTGAGAACATAAGCAGCGTGGAGGTGGAAAACGTTGTTTACCATCACCCTGCGGTTCTTGAAGCCTCTGTTGTGGCTAGACCAGACGAGCGGTGGCAGGAATCTCCGTGTGCGTTTGTGACGCTTAAGAGCGGTTACGAGAAGCACGACCAGGGTAAGTTGGCTCAGGATATAATGAAGTTCTGCAGGGAGAAGTTGCCGTCGTATTGGGTCCCGAAGTCGGTGGTGTTTGGGCCATTACCGAAGACAGCTACTGGAAAGATTCAGAAGCATGTGTTGAGGACTAAGGCGAAAGAGATGGGACCAGTGCCAAGAAGCAGGTTGTAAAAAGCGGAAATGACATCGTTTTTGGAATAATACGTTGGTACGTTCGCTGTGTGTAAACTGTGTCTTGAATGGTCTTCCAAATGATAACACATAAATTTCATTTTGTAGTATCTTGTATGATCTTTCTATACATGTAATTCTCGTTTAAATTCTTAAATGGAAGGAAACGAAAATTGGTTCACTCGCTGATCAGGTGGATTAGTACAAAAAGATTAGAGTAAAGTGGACATGACATCTAATACGTGATACTGTGTTGTGTTGTCTTTCAAGTAACTCAATGGCTAAAGAGACTTCTGTGTTGTTGAGGAAAACAGGTTATGTACCGGATAGCTCAACGTTCAATGCTACAATGCGTTGTCTCTTGAGAGGTTATGATCTTGTTGAGACGTGTGGGATATTTGATGGTTTTGTTAACCGAGGAGCTAAGCCGGGGGTTTAACGGCTATCTTGTGGTAGTTTAAGCTCTTTTGAAAGCTCATAGGTTCTCTTAAAGTGAACGGTATCTGAAACAAATGGGTGTTGAGGGGCTTATATCAAGTGTGTATGATTATAATGTGGTGATTGACTCTCCCTGCAAGGCTAGACGTACAAATTTTGCAGCTATGTTCTTAACAGAGATGCAGGATAGAGGTGTGCCTCCGAGTCATGGATGTGTACCAAATTCATATACTAAGCGTCTTGTGGAGAACTTGGCTTGAGAATGAGTGGACTCTCGAGAGAAACAGTGTCAGCCTCATATAGAAAAATTCTGTCCTCAAAGAAGGAGTTTTGAATGTTCCAATGAAGGGTAAGGGACTTGAATGGGTAATAAGGGTTCGTCTGGATTCATTTCCAGGTTGAAAGGTCTTCGAAAGAACAGAATCTTGCCCACACAGAGCATGAGTGGAAAGAGGAGAACAGAGTATTTTACATAAGTCTGAAAAAGTGGCGCCAAAGGTAGTGACTGGTACATGACAGTTAGCTCAATGCAAAACACTTTTGTGATTTTTACACTTGATGGCTTCTCATCCCAAACTGTGTAACAAAAGCCAGACAAGGAAACACATGTTGAGTATTGTAAGTGGACAAGTCTTTTGATTGAACAAGTTGCTTCTTTGTAAACTGTATCTTCAAGAGGTTTGTTTAGCCTGTGTGGTCCAAAAGTAATCAAATCCCCCGCTCGAGGGTATTTAAGTAAATGCAACAACCCCGAAATACTAGGGCTTCCGCCCCCGCCTTCCTCCAAACTATAAAACCACTCTCAGTTTGTTTAATCCGTTACTTTACTACCATTAGCCGTCTCTCACTCTCTCTCTCTCTCTACCTTATCATCAAATCTTTACTCTGATCAAAGAATGTCTGAGGGATCAGTAGAAACTAAAACAAAGATTGATTCTTCCGGAGAGCAATCAGATGTCGATAACGAGAACTGCAGCAGCAGTGCAAGTGGAGGAGGTGGAAGTAGTGGTGAAACGAAGAGAACTTGCGTTGATTGCGGAACTTTCAAAACTCCTCTCTGGCGTGGTGGCCCTGCTGGTCCTAAGGTGATTATCATAACTTCAATCTTGTGGATCTGCTTAGGTGATAAGCTAAATAGTATCATAAACTTGTTATGCTCTGAAGATCATTTTGTCTCATCGATTATGTGTTTTTTTTTTGTTATGTAGTCATTGTGCAATGCTTGTGGGATCAAGAGCAGGAAGAAGAGACAAGCAGCACTTGGAATCAAACCAGTGGAGAAGAAGAAAAACATAAGCAGTAACAATGAGCTAAGCCTTGATCACCATCCCAAGAAGAAGATCAACAAAGATGGTGATCACAGCAGCAAGACTACTACAAGTAGTAGTAGTAGTAGCAAAGGAGTGAGTGGATTTTTGGATTTAGGGTTTAAAGTTCCGGTGATGAAGAGATCATCGGTTGAGAAGAAGAGACTATGGAGGAAACTCGGCGAGGAAGAGAGAGCCGCCGTGCTTCTCATGGCTCTCTCTTGCGGCTCTGTTTATGCTTAAAAACGATGAAGAACTAAAGGCTTCTTCTTCGTTTCTTTTTGGAGTGACGTTAGATTGTTTAATTAATTTTAACTAGAAATTATATAATATATGTATGAGTGTGTTAAAAGCTTTTTATCTGTTTGGTTGCCACTAATGTAATATGTATTCATTATCTTAATGAATTCCAATTTTGAGAGCGTTACAAATAAAAATCATTCAAAGGCGTTTTCCTATGCATTAATGAGAGTAAACATATTAACTCCTAACATTTAAAAAAAATATATCAATAATACAAACAAATATAATCCGCCTCTAAAATTTCCAAGCAGATTATATTAGCAAAGATGGTCGTGTAATAATGATACATTACAAATCCCAGATAAGTCCCATCTTTGGTTTAATCAGCTTTTAATCCAATTAAACCGGGGATATCATCGATCGAATATGCTGCGTCAAAGTCGAACTCGGTATCAACCGGTGCAACTCCTTCCTGTACCAACAACACAAGATTCGTGTGTTCAAGGTTAATGCTATTCAGTCAACGTTGCCAATTACAAAACTGTTTTGCTGTTCTGTCGGAATTGGAATAGAACATTATTTAAAAGTACCCAAAAAGCTTTTTAAAGTTGACTTATTCCACTTCTCGTAAAGTAAGATTCTAAATTCGTTATTTTGTCGTATATAATGTTTTTCACTAGTGAAAGTTTGCGTAATCATGAAAGACACACGCGACCAATGGTGAGAAAGCGTCTGAAACAGTTTTATATATTTCATTTAAACTCTAATGATAAACGTTGTGATATGCGTTGGTTATTTCTACTATAAGAGAGAAACCAAAAAAATCAAACCTGCTTAAGAAGTGCACTCATAAGATCTTCTTGATTACTATATTGCTCGTGGAACGCCATTGCTGCTGTATCTCTCTCTGATTTCACCCTCACTGAACTGCTGCCACCGCCTCCGTTAGGACCGTTACCATAAACCTGATGATGTGGGACCATGCTTGGCAGTGTTTGCTGCTGGTTCCGGCCAAGATCTGTGGCTGCAACCGTTGTGTTGTTGTTGGTTCTTGACATGGAAGAAGAAGAGAAGGCTTCTGAGTTGGAGAAGGCTACTGATTCTGCGTCCTGATGAGCTTCAAAGGCGATACTCCGTAGATCCCAATCGTTCTGTCTGTTGGAGAACATGTCGTAGCTTGGGGTAGTGAAACCTGCTTCCGAGCTGTTAACCTCTTCTTGATAAGAAGAAGAGGAATGTGGTTTTCGAACCTGAGCTGGAGGAACTGATAAGCCTGGTGCACTTGGGAGCGGGAAGCTGTTCACAGGGAGTTCTTGTTGGAAGTTATTGAAGGCTACCGCACTTGATGAGTGTTGTGTTGCGAGGTTGGTGTAATTTGTAGGTAACACTCTGCTGCTCTCAGGGACACTGCTCCTTCCAGAGAAACCACTTCTCTCAGTTATACGGTTTGGTAACATCGGCTGCCTGATAGATGACTGTGGCCCTCCTCGGGGGAATGGCACCTGCTGCTGACCAGCTAGAGACATCATCATACCGCTGTTTTGAACGTTATGTCCAGCTCTAACAGCAGCAATCTGTTGCTGAATACTCATTCTATTACCAACAGGAAGCTGTTGTAAACCCGCAAGCTGCCTCGGTTCCATACCCGTGGGGACACCGTGAAGTAAGTTCATCTGCGGTTGTTGTGTTTGTTGTTGTTGCCCGTGATGATGACCAATCCCATCTCCGAATCTTGGTTTAGAGTTGTCGAAGCTGAAGATGCTTCTCTCGTCCACCATGGAGGAAACAGGTAGTCCTGACTTGGAGATCATCGCAGCAGGCCGGCCTAAACCAGCGGCTTGAAGCTGTGCAAGGCTCTGTGCAGGAAGCTGACCTGCGACTGCTAACGCTTGAAGATCGAAACCGTTCAATGAAGAAAGAGGACCAAAGCTCGCGTCCTGACCCGTCATAAACGAGTTGTTTAAGTTTCCTTGGTGCTGTGACACTCCTCCAAGCCGTCTTAGATATATCCTATATTTCTGCAAACCAACACGACGCAGATAAGATCATATTATGCAATGCACCGTAGCGTTCAACTTAAAATCAATTGGTTATAAGTGTTATTGACTATCTATCTTACATATTCCCTCTATTTCATAATATAAAATGTTATGTTTAATAGTACAGAGATTAAGAAATTTACTTTCTATAAAAAAACACATCACAGAAAATAAATACTAAAAATAATTTAGCCAATTATATAAACGATTGTTTAATATAATTGGTGATTTCAATAAAGTTAAAGTTAACCTTAAAATCTAACATTTATATTTTGAAATACCATAATCTAACATTTTTATATTTTGAAATACCATAATTTATATTTCTAATTATAAAGGTTTATACCTGGAGGTGACTGGCTACGTTCTCACGAGTTAGTCCAGGAACATTCATGAGCTCTAAGATCTTCTTAGGAACCGCCTCTGCGTCATCATACAAGATCAATTAGAAAACACTAAAACATATCTCACAAAATGCAAATGTAAAAAAAAAAAGCTTTTTAAGTCTTTACTTTCAACACCAAGCTGATTAACAGCAGCAACAAACTGCTGATGCAACTCAACAGACCAGACAACACGTGGTTTCTTCAGATTAGAAGCATCATCGTCCCCTTGCTCATCTCCTTCCTCTTCTTTCCGTTTCCGTGAGTTGTTGCTACTGCTCCTCCAGTTATTCCCTTCGTTGACAGAGGAAGCGTTATCATCTACTCCATCATCTCCTCCACCAGAAACAGCTGGACCTCTCTGTTGTTGCTGCTGCTGCTGTCCGGTCTCCTCAACGCTACCAGAATGTTCCGGTACGCTCCACTCGCTCCTCCTCTTACGAACAACGTGCTGCCATATGTTCTTAAGTGCCTCCATGCGTACAGGTTTGATGAGGTAATCAACTGCACCGTGCGTTACTCCTTTTAGAACCACACTCTTTGAATCATCCGCAGACATCACTGAGTTAAAAATCAAAGATTCAGTAATCGAAAACCATATAAAATGATTCAAGCTTTTTGGGAGGATTTTAATGGAACGTACTGATGACAGGTAAGTCCATTTCGAGACCAACGTGTTCAAGAAGCTTGAAACCGTCCATGTCAGGCATGTGAACATCGCTGATTACAATATCGAATCCATGTTTGTTTTTCCGGAGCAGAGACAATGCCAGCTCTGCTCTGTTGCATTTCGTTACTGAATTATCACAATAAAAAATCAAAAATAGTAAACAAAACATAGATCTCTAGTAATTAAAACTTAGATCAAAGAGTGTGTTCTAGTCTTAAGAAAGATCTCATGAATTGACATGATCTAACCAAACTCAAAGTCAACATGAGAGACTCTCAGATTTGAATCTTTTTAAACCTTAAGTTAAAAAAAAGGTATGATCTATAAAACCAAGAAAGTGAAAGATTAATATTTGTGAATCTTAAAAAAAGTTTCTATATTTGGGAGAGCAGAGTTAGTCAACTACCGATATTCAAAACCATAATTATCCCTCAAAATAACATAATTTTTTTTGGACCACAATAAATCATTAGGACAGACAGAGAGACAGACCATAAACTCGTGAATATTAATCATCAAAATAATTACTAAAACCCAAAAAAAAAAACAAAACTAGAAGAGAAGAGAAGATCTTGTCTGTTTTTTGTGAATTCGAACCTTCATAGAGACAAGTTCTGAGCATCCTCTCTAAGATCATAAGACAAGTTGGGTCATCGTCAACCACAAGTACTCTAAGTCCCGACGGAAACATCTCCACCACAGCTTCACCTCCTTGTTTTCTTCCCGAACTCGATCCACCACCCGATCCGAGTCCTCTTCCTTGACTCGGATTCATCATCTCTTCGGAAAGTTAAAACAAAAAAAAAAAGCAAAAGGCTTTGAACAAAGGAATATATACCCAGAAATAAGGAGAAATTTATTCGATTTGAGCTGAAATGAAAAAAAAAAAAAGAGAATAAGAATTGGAGATAGTGAAAATGAATTTAGGGGTGAAAAAAAAAAGTGAAGAGAGAGAAAAGGGAGAGATGAGACTTAGGGAGTTGAAGAAGAAGACATGGCTTGTCTCACCCTTCACAGCTTCTCTGTTATTTTAATCAGTAGAGTAAAGCTTTATTATGAAAGATGAAACCAAACAAAATATAATAATTTTAAAACCATGTCTTATATGGTCTCATGTACATACATGTCTTTTTTATATATGCGGAGCTTACATGCCCCTTTATTTTTCTTCTTTCTCTACTTTTAGGTCACTTATATATCAATTTTTGTTTTAGACCCAGTTTAAAGGTTTCATTTACAAAAATCTTAACTAAGATCATATGCAACACCAATCCTTACCGAATTCTTAGGGAGAATCTTTAAGGGAAAAAAATGCATTTTGAATTATATAAGTATATTTTGGATTTTTTTTTTTTAAAGTGATCATTCGCGTACCGTAACGTGTGCAGTGGAACATGCGTATAGTGCAATGATCAATCCTTAAATAAGAATTTTAAGGATAGAATCATTAACTGTTCATGGGACCCAGTAATTATAAAATTAATATTTTCCTAATGACTCCCCTTAAGGAGGATCTCCTAGCAATCCTTACCGAATCCCTAGGGAGAATCTTTAGGGAAAAAAAAACATTTTGAATTATATAAGGATATTTCAGTTTTTTTTTTTTTTTAAAGTGATCATTCACGTACCGCCACGTGTGCAGTGGAACCCGCAATAATGCAAGGATCAATCCTTAAATAAGGATTTTAAAGATAGAATCTTTGACTGTTTATAGGACTCGGTGATTATAAAATTAATATTTTCCTAAAAACTCTCTCATTGCATATGCTCTAATTTTGGTTGAGGTTTTAATTTAAAATTTTCAATTAATTATCTATAGAAGTTTCCTTTCAATTGTAATGAGAAATTTGGATGTTTAACCATTTTTTCTAACGTATTGGGTATTTTCTAATATGGTAAAATATAAGGGGTTAGTATTCATTTTTTTGAAAATATAGGGTATGAAAGTTAGTATAAATGGAAGAAAGTGGGTCCAAAGACCCTTGATGCGTGGATCCAGCTCATGCATGTAAAAGTTTAGTTAACTCGTTATCTGAAATTGTAAACTCAACCGTAACAGATTATCTTACTTTTGTTAGGGTTATTTGGCCAAATTTTAAATTTTATCTTCTTTCTACTAATTCAAGAGAATGAATTTGCCTCAAATACTCAATACAGAACTGCATATATTTAGGTTTCTTTATTTTTCACTTAGAGTGGTTTATTGATTTTACAAAACTGCCCTTTAGATTTAGTAATTGATTAGTTCTATCTTATGGGCCTACTTGTATTAAATTAAATGGTAAAACAAATATAAACAATATATTAAATAAAAATAATAATACGTCGACGCACATTCTACCATATGATTAAGGTACCAATATACACCTAAGCATTTTCTATCATTACGTACATGTTGAGCTAAGCTCTAATTATTTTATAAACAAATCAGTTTTCTTAAAACAAAAAGATAATTACAGTTTTATTTGGTATACATATAACATGCACATCTATTAAAACGTTGGATACTTAATAAATAAATAACTCAAATGGTTCGTTTGAATGATTAACAGCATCATATGCTACCCATTAAGTTACAAAAAAAAAATCATATGCTACCCACCAATCGCCTATTACCTCGAAACGATTTTTTTAATATAGTACAGATGACATATCACATTTGACTATTCGATTGTGCTCCGTCGTATTATACGTACTGTTATAAAAACAGCATTAACCATCTATCACATAATTACCTTTTGCCTTGATTTTACTTCTAGTCTGTTTATAGCTGACGACCTCAATGTACATATTTTTAAGTTATCCAAGTTTAGTGTATACCTTGCTTAAAACAGGTGTTTAGCACTGCTGACATCTCTTTTAAAATTAAGACAGTTTTGGGTGTGTCATTAGACTCATTTCTTCTTTTTTGAAATTTAAATTAGACTCATTTCATATGAATCGACAAACCTTGCATTACCATTTTAATATGGGATATCAAGTAAATTAAATGTTTTCAGTTTTTATCTAAATAAGAGTTGAAATACATACCAAATGCAGTCGAGTAAGTTTTAAATTTTGACAAATTACAGTATTAGTAATTTAGTAGTATATATACTACAGTATATATTACTGGAAATACCAAATACAATAAATGGAAAAAGCATTTAATGATAAAAAGTTAAAAACATATAAATCATGTCGCCGAGAAGCTTTCCCCACAGCGACACGTGTCCATATGGAAATGGATAAGATCACTTGCGCCTTTTACATCCACTTCTCCATCTATCGTTGTCTTAATTTGTTTTTCCCCCTACTTCCACACTAGCAAGTTGTAACATAAAACCATTACAAGGTAAAAAAACTAAAAGTATCTAGCTTTCTATCGGGAAAATTGATAAAAAAAATCATGAACTTTCGAATTTAAGCCAAAAAAATCATGACTTTTCAAACAAGTCATTTTATACATCAACTTTTGGTCAAACACTAAAACATCACCTATTATCATTGACCAGACCATTTTATACATGTTGAAAGTCAAACCGTTAACTTCGTTAATGAATAGTTAACAGTGACTTTTGGCATGTTCAAAATGGCTTGATTAATGAAACTATGAGATTTTATTGGTTCCAGTTTAAAAATTAAAGATTAAAATGGTTTACCCAAAAATTTGTAAAATTTAAAAAGTTTTACAAATAATTTGTCAAATATTTTTTTTTTGATAATATGCAATATACTATATATATATATATCAATGAATTTAATAAATAAATTCATTTTTATCTTATATAGTCGTCTCATCTTAAATTATTATATTAATGTTTAAGGTTAAATAAATTAAATAGAAGATTATAAGTGATCAATCCAAATAAATGGATAGAAAGTTTGATAGATTATCATAAACAAATTCACTTTTGATTTTATGTAGTAGAGGCATGTTAAATTCTTCTATTAATGTTTAAGGTTAAATAATTGATTAGAAAGTTATAAATGATCAATCCAAAATAATTAAGACTTGTGTGTCAATTGACAAGTGCAGAAATAAGAACTTGAAAGAGGATGATTTTCGTGAAATTGTAAACCTTGATTTCAACGCTAAAAGAATTCATAATGATTTCCTTAAGATGATGAACACATAGCTATAAGGCAAAATTAGTGAATTAGCCACAATCAGATGAAATCAACTAATCAGATGGATTATTTTAAGAACAATCACAACACAAACATGACCACATGTTTAGAATAACTATTACGTGTTTGTAAATATAGTCTTATTTATTTTAGATTGATCACTTATAATCTTATGTTTAATTTACTTAACATCAAACATCAATAGAAGAAATTAAGATATTACTATATAAGATCAAAAGTAAATTTATTTATCAAAATCATTGATATATAGTATATTGCATTTTATCAAAATCAAAAAATAATTTGTATTTGACAATTTTTTTTTGAAAAATTATAATTTTTTTAAATTTTTGTAAGTCATTTTAATCTTTAACTTTTAAACTAGAACCAATAAAATCTCATATTTTTGTTGACCAAGCCATTTTAGACACGCCAAAAGTCAATGTTAACTATTCATTAACTGAATTAACGGTTTGACTTTCAACATGTCTAAAATGGCTTGGTTAACGATAATAGGTGACTTTTTCGTGTTTGACCAATAATTCATGTATAAAAGGGTTTGTTTATAAATTTGTGGTTTTTTTTGCTTCAATTCGAAAGTTCATGGTTTTCTTTTCAAATTTCCCCTTTTTTATCATCAAAAACTACTTATTACTATGGGGGCTTGGTAGACTATAATTTTAGAAGAGATCCACTAACTTTTCCTATAAAAAATAGTGATCTTATTAACCTTTAAATTGCACTTGCTTTTTGAAAATAATAATTATATGCTAGTTATCGAGTTTTTCAATCGCTTTTTTACTATGTATATGATAAAAGATATAAACTAAAAACAAGAATGCATGCTATTAAAGAAAACAAAATGTTACTGCGCCAAAAGCTAAAATGGAGGAGGTCCCAAGAAAGAAACCAACTGAAACCGTATATTCTCTGTAGAAACTTTTTACTCTTACGATGAGCTTTTTGCGTTTTTAATGTATATTTTGTTTACTTTTAGTGTTGCTTAGACAGACATGTTATTACATAGATTTTCTTATCTATATTTCAGTTATCATCTTACGGTCCATGTCACCAGAAAAAGGTTTTGTAGAACACAAAATTTCAGCTTTTGTGCAGAACCAAAAACTTTATCATCACTAACATCTGCACACCCATATAACTTTACACTAAGGGGTTAAAATATAAAACGACTGAAAACTTGCTAGAGTTCTTGGTGATAAATGCACCCATCAAACTTGCTGTGGTTCTTCCATTAGTTTCATATATAATATTGTTTCCTCTTTTTTTTATCAATATAATATTATTTCCTTTCTGTCATGATTATGAATATTAAGACTAAATTGTATAACCGAGTATTAATTTATCTCTAAACCAAAAAGAATCAAGTTTTGTTATATAAGAGCAAGATTATTGAGAGTTCTTACTCTTGGATTCTTAATATATTTATATATATTATATATACATATATAATTGTGGGTTAAGGATTTTACGGAAACCCAAACCGAAATTCTTTATTGCTCTAACTCGTGACTTGTGTGTGTATCCATCTTCTTGCTAGGGGTCCAACATGTGCCCATAACATTTGGTTGGAAGTTTTTTTATCTTGTTGAATATTCAGGGACTGATCAATTTTTTTTATCTCTATTCAAATTGACCATTTTCACGTGACCAAGTACAATGAATACGTTGAAAATATTACAATCACATGGATGCAATGATTTAAAAGTAGACAAAATGAAATATAGTTTGACTATTTACGCTTTAAAATCTACATTTTTATCGAGTCCACTATAAATCTGAAAATATATGAACACACAAATAATTTATCATCATACAATACAACAGAACACTGAATATATCTATCATTTACTTGTTCCTTATTTTTCAGCTAGTTTTCATATCTCTATAATATTATTTGAGAAGTCATTTTTTTAGGTGTCGCGCTTACGTTAATTTTTACGTTGGTTGATTACTATGATACTCCTAATGAACTAAAAATATATTTAAATATTATTATTTCCTTTTTAAAATCTTCCAAATAAAAATATAAAACAAAAAGAAAATATTTATAAAATTTACAAAACTATTTAAAACGAAAAATAAGTATATATAATATGGTTTCATAAAAAAAGAAAGTTTACAAAATAGTAATATTTAACTTAAATATATTTTTAAATAGCATAAATTATAATTTTTAAGTAATTATACTTTATATCTATATCTTATTAGATGAAAAAAATTGTATATAATGTGTTTTCATATAAAAATTTCATACAAATAATCTTGATATTAGAAAAAGAAAATTTTTTTTCTTTAAAAAAATAATTTCAACAATAAAATATATATTTTCAAAGTAATTAGTTTTTGTATATATCTATCTATTTTATAAAATGATTACATAAATAATTAAGTAACATAAACTGATATATGTTTAATTGACAAAAAAAAATTATAATTAGTATATTTATTTGATTATAATATCTTACAGTTACAGCAAAAAATATAAATTATATTTTACTTATATAATATAATTTCTCAAAACAATCACATTTTTACTGCATATTTAAGAGATATTAAAAACAAAACTAAAAATAAATTTAATAATAAACATCTTTTGATCAAATAACTATAATTCTTTTAAAATATCATAACACTATATAATTTAGCGAGGTAGATACATTATATTTTAATAGTTAAAATTATATGTTTTCTTAATAACTCTTTTGATGTTTAATTTTCTGTTTTTATGTTTGTGGAATTTAATATAACCATAATCAAAATACTTAAGCAAATCAGAATTCCTTATTTTTAAAATTATTTAAAATAAATTTCAGTTTACCATCCAATCAATCTAAGGCTTAAATTATTTTAAATTTATAAAATATTTAATTATTGAAAATATTGATATGTGTTCATAAGCTTCCAAAAAATTATTATTACTTATTTATGTAATTTAGAATCAGACACTTTAGTTTTTATTTTTTCGTTCTAAGCACAAAAAATCTTAAAATACATAATCTTACCAAGATATACTTATATTTCTAAGATAACAACCAACATAAATGTATATAAAACAATTAATCAAAAATTTAAGATATTTAGAATAAAAAAAATTATAGTTGAATTCAGAGAAATAAATAGAATCCAATATATATATATATATATATATATATATATATATATCCAAATGATAAAACTGACTAAATATAATATATCTAAAATTATATATAACTAAAATAATATAATATTATTAATATAAATTATACATAAAGCTATAAACTAATATAAAAGTTAAAATAAATATCAATCAACAGTTATAATATATTTTATAAATATTTATAGCACGGAAAAATCACCTAGTAAAATCCCGTATTCTGTATAAAATTATCACTATCAAAGACAAACACAAAGACATCTAAATGTTCGGTTTAAAACAGTAATGAATACATTGAGTGGAAGCAACCCAAAAACTCAAAAAGTATGTGGGAACAGTGGAGGTCAACTACCAAAAGAAGAGCCACGTGTCCAATTTGCGCAAATAAAAGATGCTGGCGGCCATAGAGATATGACGAATGAACCGCAGCAATATTACGACACGTGTCATTTACTTCTGACCAATCAGCATTCCGCAAGAACACATTGACTTAAAAATCTAAACCTAGAAGTTCCTAACTTATACATGCTGACGCTTGTCCGGGCTCCAAGCCGATAGTCAAGCTTGTGGGACACGAAACCAAAGATAGATAACTGTTCTGTGTGCAAAGAGATGCGTGTTCCTTCAGAGGGTGAAGAACTTTAGGTAAGGAGTGATAGGTCAAGCAAAGGTCAGAGGTATTGCAATGTTTCACATGTTACTATACCTTATTACCATAAACCAGGAACCTTAATAACATGCATTTTTAGTGTACCAGGCAACAAAGAGCCAAGTTGAAGACGGGTATATCACATCTTTGGTATGTTCTGAGACTGTAAAGGTTTGAGATCTGCATATTGAACCCTCACACAATTATCTAAATGTTACATATAGGTAAAAGACATGCTAATAACTTGCCTTTATCTGTCCATCTCAAACTCATAACTTGACGAACAAGTGATAGATAATTCTTCCTAGATGATTCACACAATTCTCACTTTTGTTTTATTTTTTTCCACTTGATAAAAACAAGAAAGAAGATGAATAATAATCTTACACCATGAATGAAGAAATAGAAGCTGTACATAAATAATACAACAGAAACTCTGTTCCTTGATACTCACGTTTTTCTTTCCCTTCCTCACTCGCTCTGACAAAATAAATTTTTATGACTTTACTCACAAAATAATTGAAAATTCAATCGAATCATAAACCATCACTCTCTTCTTCTTCTTCACCACCATTTTATTAACTTCACTATCTTCATTACCAACTGTAGTACGACTCTGCCACCGTGGCGAAACACGACGAGGGAGAACTCATAAGCTCTTTACACGGCTCCGGCGTTACATCCTCCGCGTAGCCAGAGACGTTAGAGCAAACCCAAGACTCCGAACTTGTTTTCAAATGAACATCCGAGAGACATATCGACGTGAACGGAGACTCTCCTATTCCGGCGAAGTTCCCGGCCAACCCTATACCCTCTCCGGTAAAATTCCTCAAGACGATATGCGTCACGACAGGGAGCGCGTCCCTGTCGTATCTATCATCCGCGTGCGATCCCGTGTGTCCGTCTGCCACGATGGCTGTGTCTACACCGGAGAGAACGACGCCGGAGATTGTGATGTTACGGATGTACCCTCCTCTGCCTCTGGTGGTTCTGAATGCGACGCCGACGCGTGAGCTGTGTATTGTGAGTCCTTCGACGGTGACGTCGGAGATTCCGCCGGACATTTCGCTACCGAAGGAGATTCCGGCGCCGGTGGGTGATTTTAAGATGAGGTTACGGATGTGAACGGTGGTGGTTGGACGGCCGTAGTTTATTCCGTATTGGTCCCAACCACTTTTGAGAGAGACTGTGTCGTGTCCAACGTTGATCGTTGAGTCCTCCAGACAAACATTGTCTGAAGAATCTGTTAAAAATAAAAACATTAAAAGAACTTTTAGCTTTCAACCTTGGAGTAATGATGTAAGAGATTGAATAAGTGAATATTATTATTATTTTTTAATATAAAGAGGTTCAATTCTCAGGTAGAAGTGATTATTACCTGGGACAACTCCAAGGACGTAGGGAGAATCAACGCTTGTTTCGATTAGTACTTTTTTGATATGAACATGACTGCAATAAACAGGGTGAATGTTTACAGAAGGTGCGTTTAAGAAGGTTAGATTCGATATAAGGATGTTTTTGGATGAGACGAATTCTATTATATGAGGTCGGCTATAGTTCAAAGTTCCTGACTCTAGCCACTCCCACCATGCCGCACCTTGACCATCGAATGTCCCGTTATCACCTGCCACAAATATAAAGAAGTTAGCATCTCAATGTGGCCAAGTCAGCTATATTGTGACTAACCAGTGATGACTACGTCTAGTAGATTGTCTCCATTGATCAAACTTCTGTAACGTTTCCCCGGAAGTTCAACTCCACGACCATATGATGGTAAGGGACTGACAATATCCCAATGCGATGGATCCTATAACGTTAGGAACAAATTAAAAACAATGTCACCACTTTAACTAACACTGAAGATTTTTTGATTGAGGGATCATACCGGTGAAGCAAGAATGGTTGCTCCTTTCTCTAGAAAGAGTGTGAGATGGCTTGTGAGATTGAAGCTTCCGGTGAGCCATTTCCCTGGTGGAACATAGAGCTGAGCACCGCCTTTATCCGCAAAGGACTTGAGGTAGAAGATAGCGTTTTGGAAAGCAAGTGTGTTGAGGGACTTGCCGTCTCCAACAGCTCCAAACTCGAGGATGGAGACGCTGTGAGGTCTAGGGTCTAACTTGAAATTATTATTATTGCATACTGCATTATTGCTTTCTACTTTGATCAGTAATAGATTTGTGAATGCCAGTAGCCAGACCAATGCCACCTGCATCATACACCCAAGAGATATAATCAGTTTACAAATTAGATTAAAATAGGATTAAAAACTGTTAAAATAGATGTTGGCAAAACATGGATGTGATGATGACTAAACGAGAATTTTATTTGAGTAGCTAAAAAAACGTTTTATCTAGAGAAAAATTAAGGAAAGCATGAACTCTCCTTCTTTTCTTGGTGTGAAAAAACTTAGGAAGTTCCGAAAAAAACTTGAGAAAAGATCGGTTTTGATGGCAAAAATGAGCAAAATATTTGATAGAATTATATCGGAAACAGCTTATAAAATCATAAACTTGCAACTATGTAAAATAAACAGAAGCATCGGCATAATCAAACATCAATCAGAAGAAGATCCAAAGAGATAGAAGCAGAACAAGTTAGTAGAAAACAGAGGAAATAAATCGAAAATCTTCCAGATTTGGCAACTAAGACGTCCCAATTTCAAAAGACTAACACAGATATTTAGATTTCATTTGCTGGAGTTGGCAAGAAACAAGTGAAGAAAATTATAGAATTGAAATACAACCCTTAAGAGATTTATGTGAATTGCAGAGAGGCAATTAAAAACAAAACAAAGAAGATTCAATGGAAAAAGACAACAAGAAAAGGGAGAAACGTACTTACTGGCATCTTCATGGACTCAGAAACTTAAAAGTTCCTGAGGGAAGGAGAAAAGTCTCGGCGAGTGACAGAACAACAAAAAAAATAGAGCAGAGGAGATGAAGAAGCAAGAGAAACCGAAGTTCAGTACTTACATGTTATTAACGCGCACTGTTTGTTGGCATTGCTTTCAATCAATATTTTATTTATTATTAATTATAATCATTTGTGTTCTTGATTTGTTTTGATCCGAGTATTTCACCATTTAATTATACTTTTACACTAAAAGGACCAGACAATATATAATTCACTAAAATCTTGGAGCTATTTTTAGCTTTCTTACCCTGAAATAAAATTAATTAACGAGACATAGATGTACACTTTAGAGAATCTAAATATCCAAACTGTGAATATCAGGAAACAAAAAGTAAAAAGAAACAAACCAATATATAGATACCTTTGGAATTAAAATTAGAGTTGGTCTGAAAGACACCTCTAAAGCTTATTCAATCCGTGCCCCAAAAGCTATTTCATTCGTTATGATATAAATTTTAATTTTAACTAATTACTTATGTATTATAATCCTGATTTTTTTTTTAAAACAAATTGTCCTAACTACTGGAGCTGCATAACTTGCCGACACGACTATTCTACATTTTGAATAGCTATTTAAGTCTAAAACTAGTTGAAAAGTAAGAATTGCTAGTACAGTTTGTATTTGTAACACTAGTGGTTTTGTATCGATATTGCTTTGGCTTTTACAAATTATAAAATACTAGGAAATTTAAATAAGTGTTAAATCAGACTGTTGTTTATTTTAAGTGTAATATGTTTGGAATATAGAATTCATTATAAGAAAATAAGTAAATTTAGCTGTTGAGTAACCTTTTCTAACAAACAAAAAGAAACTAAAAATATGGGATTTAATCAGCATATAGAGAGAGAAGATGATGTGTTAAAATGACACATGGAGTTCATGTGGTCTGTTTTGATTTGAGCAAACAACCGTTTGTGTTTACTGTTTAGAAAAGAAGCAATTGATACTATATTTGTTTCAGAGACGGCATTTAATATATAATTTGGCAAAGTGGTTGATATAATAATTGATTAGCGGAGTCGTATGATAGTTTACTACTAAGAGCTAAGAGTAAGTTTATTAAAGCAGGTTAGTACTACTGGAAAATTTTATTTATTTTTCCTAACAGTACATTAACATTATTATTTTCGTAAAAATGAGATGTGGGTTTACCAGACTAATCAATTTTGTTTTATATACTCCCTCTGTTTTTAAATAAGTGTCATTTTAACTCTTTGCACATAAATTAAGAAAATTGTATAATAGACTAATATATCCCTATTTAATGTATGTTTAATTAAATGAAAATAGTTAAGTAAAATACTATTGGTTATTCAAAAGGGTAAAAAATAGATTTAATGTACAAAATTACATTGGGATGGTAGAATGACACTTTTTTGAAACAAAATTAAAAGGCTAAAGTGACACTTATTTAAAAACAGAGGGAGTATAAAAGAAGAACAAGTAGGCTTATTTTAAAATTAATAATTATTACGATTAATTGTAAATGTAAAGAGAACACGTAAGCAGTACCGCATGTGCTTTAAGACAGTGAAGACAACGGGACCCACAAAGCAATCATCGGAGAGGAGCGCCAGCCTGGCTTTGACAGATCATTTTCCATAGAACAACATATGCTAATGCTGCTTCCACACATCTGATTTTCCGCACCTATTTTTAATATATTTATTTGAAATATATTTGTACAGTATAAATTAATCACTCACTTATTATTTTGAGCAAACAAAAAAAAAATGGAGAAAAACCAAATTAATGTGGAGAATTCAGTTTAATTGCATATGATTGTAGAAATTTCTATGATATGATTTGATTTATTGTTGACTATAACATACTGTTGTAATGAATAGCTTATGCAGTGTGAATAGACATCACTAATAGTATGTTTATTTATATTTTCTTAATTGATTTAGATTATAAAAATATAAATACCTTTGAAATTTATCAGATCTGTACTATTATTTGCGAAGTGATTTTTGGCAATGGATCTCTCACGTTAAAAATTGGAGTAGTTAAAATCGTTTATACCCTTAATGAATAAAATATATAAATATATAAATCAGCCAAAAATAAAAACGAATTTAATATTTATTTGATTGGATAAATGATTTAAATTAATAACAATGATAAGAATTATCATAATTTATATATATATATATATTTAAAAATAAAAAGATAACTGTTGCTATCCGAAAAATATATTTTAATACAAAATTCAAAAACAGAAAACACATAAATAAATATTCATAAAGTAAAATTTTTAATTGTATATAATTGAAAAGAGAAAATTGTACTCACACGTTAAATTAAATTTATTTTTTATATTTTATAAAGTTAAACCTTGATCATGAATTAATCATAATAAAATAAAAGACCATTCAAAAATAAAGAAAATACGTGGTTGAAAAAATAAATTTAAATATATTATTTATTATCCAAACTAATATTATTCTTTTTGTAAGATCAATTTTTAAATGTATATTTATCCATTCAATTTTTTAAATTGAAAGATAGATTTCAATATTTTGTATCAATTAAGAAAAAATGAAATAGACTTTAGATTTTTCAAAGTTTTAAAGGAAAAAAATAGATTTTTTTTTATTTGTGAACAACTTTATCATGTAAAAAGTTTAATATTTTAGGTCGAATTTTTTGGATGCAAATAATCATTTATTTTGATAAATTTTTAATTAATTTAAAAATAATTAAATCCGCATATGCGGGCAAAACACCTGGTAAAACGTATAGAGAGAATCATGTGTGTGATATAATGGTCTTCACGTCTACGTGATTTAGAAATTAAGGTGAAAATATACTTGTTCATCATACTGTATATATATTAGTATAAGTTATCAATTTGTGATTAGTTAGAAGGTCTCTGTCATATTTGTTGGAATCTTATGAAACGAGGCGGGTCATATACATATGTCGGGTTATACTTATGTCAATATCTAAGAAACAAAATCATTATCTTTTAGTTTTAAGTCGTGTGGTCACTATAATTGTGCCAGGTGATTTTCCCGTGATCAGTACGTTCCAAAGAATCAAGTAAATTACTAATGTTATCAAGTTGTATTCTTTCTTCTCATATAATCAACTGCTAGTTTATTACCTCTTTGCCTTATTGGACGCAATCTTAGCCGTCTAAATTTCACAACAATAATGTAGTCCTATTTTCTCACGACTTGTCCCCAACATCACTCTAATAAACTCAACTATATATTGCATCCACTAACATCTCGAATGTTTCAGACATATCATATAAACATGTCTTATATGCGAACGATAAAATGTTTATTATCACTACCAGAGTATATTTGAACTAAATAATTAAAACCAAACATGTTACAGACCGTTTGTGAAAAGTATTCGCATACAACACTAACATAAATACTCATATATTTCAAAACCAGAGGAATTTTTGTTTTTTATCAAAACTCACACTACCTCTGGAATGCATGTGTGGAATGCGTATTATCATTCAAAATGTTGAAGTAAATAAGAAAAATGAATATGAGTTATTGAAAAGGATTGGGCACACCATTTATTAAATAAGTTGGTAAACCAAACTATTTTTAAACCAACACGATAGTAGTTAGCTCAGCTGAATTACAAAAAGATGAGACTATACTAACATGCAATTAGTAGAACAGCCTTACTAACTTCTTTCCTAAAAAAGAAAAGTAGTTCGATGCATGTGTAAATCGAACAAGGAGAGGAGATGGTGTTAAAACAGATATATGTTGAAAGTTTGGACTCTATTCCTCGGATCCCTTTTGTAGTTGAGTAAGAGACCCCACTCCTTAATTACCTTTCACACTTGCGTTCTTTCTCAAATATTTTTGTTTTATATTTCCTCCTTCAATACATATTATAGTATCAATGTCCAAAAAATCGATAGAGGATAATTTGATATTTTATAGGAAATTGTAGATCACCTAAACTGAAATTTTGAAAGTTTAGGGCCAATTTTTGTTTAAATCATCTTAAATATCGTTTCGTTTATATTTGATTTGCCCCCTGTAATTAATTTTGTAGAACACTGCATATTATAATGAAGTTACTCCTCATGCTGAAATATATTGTTTCAAGTCATGCGAGAAGAATTATATGATTGTTTCCTAACGAGCCATACATTACGGCCAGCTTCATGTAATTACGGGTTTCTATAAGAAAAGAGAGAGATTTGCAATGAAAGTCAAAAACAGTTGGACTTACTTTTGAACTTGGCACTAATCAGTAATCAATGCTCCAATTGCATGCTAATTCTAATCACTCATCATAATGATAGGCTAAAAGCGTGCAATAATATGGTTAACAGAAATATAAAGGTTGTTTGATTTAGTCTCAAACAAGAATGAGCTTACTATTTTTGTTCCCGTGTATTCCAAGTTACGCGGTTTTGTTGTAGCCCTAATTATTCGGTTTAGATGAATTTGAGATAACCAAAATGCGATTTAACTGTGTACCACATCATCGGTCGTATTTAGTAGGGTTTATCAAAAATAAACTTTTCTTCAGAGCTCATCTCTCTGCCAAAGCTTCAATAACACTATCAATCTAACATTCAAGGATACAAGAGAAAGCACGAGATATCTTCTTCTTAAGTGTCTTTTACCAATCTTTTTATTTATATGATCAGATCTTATAACCTTTATAAGTTATAACAAACCTTATGTACGTCACACAAGTTATATATTCAATCCTATCAGATTTTGACCAGCTATATTCAAGGATACGTTGTTCATTTCTACATAAACTACTATGTCCAGAAACATGACTTTTTGATTAGCACAATGCTCTAAGTGCATGCTGATGCTAATCAGCCATCATTTTTATAAAAAGCTTGATTCAGTTTTATAACCTCGACTATAGCATCATATGACAAGAGAAATTAAAAATTCTATGATCACTCAAAACCATATATTAAAAGCTACAACTCAAGAGTATAGCTTTTTAAATGTTTTAATAACACCGACAAATACCAAAAAAAAAAGTAATCTGTTAACAAGCCCCTACTGATTTAATTTAATGTATCTCATTTACAAAAAAAAAAAAACAGACACAAGCTATCACATCTTTACAACCCAAATAAACTGTCAACTAACTTAACTGACAGCAACTGTTTCTCTTTTCTTCTTACCTCTGAATCTGACGATCTGAACTTGAGTTATTAGCTGCCGATGAACTAGAGGGCCGCCCATTCTCAGTCCCTGCTTTATCTGCAGTAACTGCCACCCCAACGCCCCATCTTCTCGTACCTTCTGATGGCTCAATCACTTTAACTGAACCATCAGACAGTCCAACGGCTAACTGATTTGGTTCTTGTGGATGTGTTGTGATCACTTGTGGAATGATCAGTGCACTATCACAGAAAAAAAAAAACAGAACACATTTGGTTCAAGAAAATGTTAATGGTCAAAGATCTTGTAAAAATAATAGGGTACCTGTTGGGTGTTGGTTGAGGCATGTAAGCAGATGGAGCAATGCGACATCTGAGTCTCAAGGAATCAGCATCAAAGACTGCAATGTTCCCATCAGCGAATGATGCGTAAACCAGCTGGCTGTTGCATGAGTAAGATGCAGAGGTTATGGGTGAAGAGAGAGCTTCTTGTGGCACCCACTGCACATGTATATATTAAATAGGGTTATAGGACGAGGTAACAAAAAAAAAACGAAGGGAAAAGATCTTTTGGTTTTTTACCTTATGAATACATTCCATCTTTGTAGCATCGTAAATGGCAAGCTGCGTCTCATGTGAAACCAACAGATGGATTTGGTCGTTATGGAACTGCACACGTGTGTCACCCACTGGTGCTTTTCCAGGTGGTAATGAAATCGCTGAAGATTTCTTCTTTTCCCATGTGTCAGCGGTCCAAAAGAAGAGCTGTAATAGAAAAAAGAAGTAAGCCAAAGTATGAACGTGAAAGCTTTCAGTGGTATAGTATACTATGAGTTACCTGAGCATCAGCACTAGGGGTGGGCACAAGCCAAGTACTTGCCATTTTTGGCCTACTTGGTACTTGGCTTGGCTTGTTCGAGTAATAAAATTTTGGACTTGTACTTGGTTTATTAAAAACGAGTACTTGCACTTTCAAGTACTTGCTAAAAATGATATACGTGCAAGTACTTGCCCTATTTTACTACTTGTTGCTTCTGAACTAATTTATTTAATAATAATTTATTAGATTTTGCTACTTAAACCTTGTATATAAATTTTATTTAATAATAGTTTATTAATTTTTGCTACTTAAACCTTGTATATGAATTTTAAAAATATTTAGTTAGTTATAATTATGATTTAAACAATTTTTAATAAATAATATTTATTTACTTTTCATATGTTTTAAATCGATATATGATAAATATAAAATTAAAAGAAAACTCTAAAATATTTCTATTATATATCATTTTTAATTCATTTATTTTAGAAACAAGTAATTTGATTATAATCTAGAGATTTTTATGTCTAAAAGTAAAAAACGGATAATAAATCAAGTAATAAATCACGAGTAACAAGCCAACAACGCCAAGTAGTTACTTTTATTTTAGTACTTGGTACTTGTTTTCTACTTGCAAGTAATTGAAATAAACGACTTGATACTCGACTTGAACAAAACGAGTACTCGACTTTAAGAGCCAAGTACGAATCAAGTAGCGAGTACAAGCCGAGTAACAAGTAATTGTGCCCACCCCTAATCAGCACCAGAAGAGACGAGGATGTTGAGTGCGGTAGAGAATGCTAGACCAGTTATGTGTTTCTGGTGACCTTTCAGCTTTGTTTTCACCTTATAGATCAAAAGACATTATATCATGTAAGAGGTGAATCAGTAACTAACACCACAGAATCAACAGGATGTATATTTTATACCTCATCAACCCTGACGTTGTAAATATGGATACTAGAGTCTTCCATTCCGATTGCAATAATGTTATTATCCTGAGGATGAAATGCCAAAAATGTTGAAGCTGGTGGTGGTGGCATGAACGTTGTCATCACCTGTCAACAACAAATTGAAAAATGATGCCATTTAGCTCGCATACATACATACATGTCTTCTAAACTAAGTTGGATTAGAGCTGTTTACTTTGAAAGTCATCATATTGAATAAGGAAACTTTTCCACCACAAGCTGACATTACGTAAGAGTCATTCTTAGAAAGTGCTATACACGGCACAGCTGCTTCAGGATTCTCAGAAGCATCGTTTGCCATTAAGAGACCACTGTTAGGCTGCCAATGCTGTGGAGTAACACTAGCGGTTGCCTTCCCTGTTGGATTCTGCTCATTGCGGCTCCACTTCCATAGTCTTTGAACACCATTTGCTCCCAGAGCCAAAACGCCAACACCAGAATTTGTATAAAGAAGCCGAGCAACCTTTAGGATTTTGACATAGCAGCAACCAAGATTAGGATCAAGACATGAGAATTGAGAGGAAGACAACAAACCTTGCTGACAGAATCCTTGCTGTCTGGCATGGTCACTTGTCTGCACTGAGAGGGATCCACAATTTCTGTTAGCTCCAAGGGTCTGGACTTATCAACAACAGATTCCAAGTTTCTTGGCTTTTCTATACTTCTTGATATTGCCTCAATTCCATTCTGCATTATGTCATAACACCAAAGTCAGATGACAACAAATTGTAAACAAAACAAAACCAAGATCATGCCATGATTCTAAATTATTAATCATACAGGAAGTGGTGTGGGCCTTGCAGGAGAGCTTGTGTCCATGTGTTCAATTTTACCAACAGCTGGGCTCATGCTTGAAATCATTGCTGAAGTTGATACCTGGATCACCAGCATTGACATCTGAGTTTTCATTTCAATAGAATATTTTAAGTATTTTTTCCTACCTTCATCTCAATGGATGCTTTAGATGCTTCATGAGAACGAGATTCATATGCTCTCAAGGTTCTAAGACCATCAGTATTTGCAAGGATCTTGAATCCGTTATCCGCTGTACTAACTGCAAGAAGATTTCCTTCCTTGTTGAACCTCAAACGTGGAAGACTCTGATGATAACATACAAATCAGTAAAGAAACAAGAAGACACGAGGAACAGCAAGAACAAGATCATCCGTCTTACCGGAAGTCCACCTTCAGCTTCAACAATTGTCAACAGATTAGTATTATCCATGTCCCAGAATTTGACTTGATTGTCTTCACCAACAGCTAAGAAACGGTTACGAGTTGTATCAAACTGAACAACTCCATTAGATTTCTTCCTAAAGCCTACATAGTTCCTCTTCAGGGTACCTTCGCTCTCATTCCACTCAACAAGGAAAGAGTCTCCTTCTTTACTCGTTCCACAAGAAAATAATCTGAAAACCACACTAAATAGTTACTCAACTTGAAGCTTATATCAACTATATACAAGAGTTTTTGTATTTACCTGTTTCCATCAGCACTGTATAACATAGTTGTACACCACTGTCCTGGTGCGTCGTAATCAACTCGAGAACCAACATTATCATAGAGCCAAGCCTTGATCTTACCATCAAGAGCAGTTGAGAATATAAACTGCATAGTAACAAAAAGAGAAAAAATTTCTAAATTACATGAAAATAAAAAAAGGAGAAGTTTAAGGTATTTATAAACAAAGAGATACTTCTAGTTCCACCTGAATATTTGCTTTCTGGTGAGGGCAAATGGAATAAACCGGTGCCTCGTGGCCTTCAAAGGTGTAAAGCTTCTTGCCGTTTATGTCCCACACCTTTTTTATTAAAAAAAACAAAATAAAAATCTGAACTCAAAAGAGTAGCAATCCTCACAAGTCAGTTTGTACCTTGATCAATTTGTCATCCCCACAAGTCACAACACATATCTGCTTGTTTGGGGCGGCGAAAGCCAAGTCATTCACACAGCCTACATGAGCATCAATCTAATGCACAAAAAACATATGACTGATTAAGTTTTGGTGCAGGTGCCACAAAGATAAGAAAGTAAGTACAGAAAAGATTAAAACATACCTCAAGGTGTTGACGTAGGTCTGAGCCTTGGTACGCATATACATGAATCAGATGTTTAGTAAATGAAACCCCTGTAGACAGAAAATGATACACATGTTCAAAATCTGTATCTTTGAAACATTTTCTTGAGCCTAGTTGGAATGAGAGCAATCTCCATATAATAATACCATACCAATAAAATTTCCATCTGGGCTCCAAGCTACACGAGTGGCAGATATCGATGGTTCTTTGACAATAGTATCCTGAGAAGACATAACATAAGACAAAATAACTCAGGACTTGTTACTGAAAATCCTTTGGAATTTGGTAGGACGAAAGACCAACTTGGAGGGCACCAGAACAAGCAGACATATTCCAAATCTTAAAAGGTTCTGTGACAATCTTCTCTCTGGAACCAACTTCCCACAAGGTGACTTCGCCGCTTGAACAGCCAACTAAAAGTAACAAGACATGTTAGAGCAAGAGCCAACTAAAAGCTCAACTCTACTAAAGCTCTTCATGCCCTCATGATCGAAATAGACTAACCAGCGAGTAACGTGTGATGCGCAGGGTGAAAATCCATGCTCACCACCACCGACCCTTGGTGCATTGTACTCACCACATTTCTAGGGAGGTCATCAAGTGACGCAGAGGGATGAGCAGGAGCAGGAGCAGGAGCAGGATATGTAACCTGTCATGTACTCAACATCAGAAACACACACATTCTATAGCCACAAAAGTTCCAAAGCAGTTACCTCATTTCCGGTTTGTGCAGACCGTAAACGTCTCATGAGTTGGTCGTGATCAGCGTTCTGATAATCCATCAATCCTAGAGAGTTTGACGGTGCTCGAGTATGTTTCAGAGCATTAACTGTTGTCACGAAACACATCAACAAGATTAAGATCAAGCCATTAAATTAAAGAGGTAATATCCAAACACTTGTCAGATGAAATCTACCTTGATTTGGTTGCATAGCAAAAGGAGAAGCAGCCACTGCACCAGATGGAACTGATGAGGAAGGATTTGGGTTAGCCATCCACCCAGCTAGAGCATTGGCATTAGGAGCCGGAGCAGGAGTAGGTTGAAAGGGCTGCACAAACATAACACTTTCATCAATTCTCCAAAAGCTAAAGCATTTTAAGTTCTAATAATAATAGAATATGAGGGAGAAGTAAAGTAAGTGATCCTACTCCACCATGAACTCCAAGAGGAACAAAGTTAGAAGGTCTTGCAACAGCTGCAACAGGAAGATTCACAGGAGTGAGTGCACGAGCACCGTTTGCTGCAGAGCAAGAGTGATCCAAGAACAATGTTTTGATGTCAGGATTAGGCCTTGGGTTTTTACATAGCTGGTGTTGCCAATTCAAGCTGCAATAAGAAAACCATTAAACATTTGACTCATTCTTTTTCAAGAAAGATCATTTTAGTTATAACCTTTGGTTGATCAGAGTTCTCAGGCGAGAAGCCTTGAAGGTGGGGAAGGCTAGCTTCTCTCGAAACAGAGGATTTGCCTCTATCAATTTCTTCAACTCAGTGTACATTATATTCCTAGCTGATTTTGTATCACCATATTTCGATAATTGCTCATTTTCCCTGTGGAGATATCAAACAAAAACACACACTCTTCAACACTAAAGTGTCTGCCTTTCAATAAACGAAAAAAAGAAGCAAAAACTTACCTGAAATTCTCAAGAGTGAGAAGCTGAGTGATTTCTTTGTAAAGCTCCTCGTTAAATGTAGCAAAAACTTTCAAGTCTTTGGCTAATATCTCAACAGCTTTTGCTCTGTCATTACTGAAACAAACACACACAAATGCATCATCAATTCAAGAAAGAACACAAACGTCTATATATTCACGCATTGTTCTAAAAAAATCGGTCAAAAATCTAAAAACAAAACTAATTTGTCCAAAAAAAAAAAAAAAAATCTAAAAACAAAACTAATAAATTTGAACAATGTATTCAAGCAAAGAAAAAAAAATTCATTTACCGATCTAGAGCTTCGAGATACTTTTGCTTCCTGATCTCAAAGAAAATTTTCATAGAGTAACGATTATCATCAACCTTAGTGAAACCTGAAAGATACTTCTCCACTTCATCCCACTCACCAGCAAGAGCCTTCTCTTCAAAGTACTTTATATTAAAGAAGAATCCAGATTCCTGCTCAAGCCTTAAATATATACACACACGCATCAAAACCAAATTACAAAACTCATCCAACAAAAAAATCTAACAGACAATAGCAAGAGAAAGACACAACAAAACTTACTTGTGAACAGATTCCTTGAACTTCTCTTCATCTAAGAACTGAAGGATTAAAAAAACTAACTCTCTGCTCAGAGACGACATTTCATTAACCTCTCAAGCTTTGGATCTGTTCGTGAGAGACGGGTTTAGGTCAAGTCGATTAAGTCGTCGTTTGAAATTGTTTTTCTAGGGTTGCAGGTTTCTCCATCTACAAGGAAAAAGGAAGAAAAAGGCTGACCCCAAGACAGAGATAGAAGGTTGATAAGTCAAACGGCTTATCAGTGATAAGCGCTCTTGTTGTTATATAAGCTGATAACCTCGTTGATCTCCACTGTTTGGCCTGATCCTTTTGTTTGGATTTTATTTGATGCGCTTACGCCCACGAAAAAAAGCAGAATAGAATTTGTCGGTAGCTTGTTTTGTGACACGTGTCGGGTTATGGTGAAGAAAAAGGTGATATGCAAAGTAGATGATAACTACTCGAAAGTGGACGCGGATTCGGGAAACGGAATTGAAGTGGATTGAGCAGAGTTCACTAGCGTCCGCCACACCTTGTCAAGGGGGCGATGACGTGGTCTCGGTATCTCCGTTCATCTCGTAGTGCGATTTTGTCGTGAGAAATACGAGAGATCCTTTCACTTGATAGTTACAGGGCTGCTACCAAATCCAGCCAATAGGTGTCGTCAATATAATATTAAATAGGGCTAATTGGCGAAATAGCATGTATGGCATAGTATAAATTAGGGAACTAAACATGATTTTAACGTAATTTAATGTTAGGTATTTCACCTTGTTTCTAATCGGTTATATCCTTAAAAGAAAGAGGTTACCGATTCATATTTCTATAATATTATTTGAGAAGTCAGTTTCCTACGTGTCGCGCTCACGTTAACTTTCACGATGGTTAATTACATAGATATCCTTAATGAATTGTTAGATTTTAAGTTTATTATTAATTTTTTATTTAATTTTTTTTTACTTTTTTCCAAATAACATATAATAATAAAAAGAAATATTTCTAAAATTTTAAAATAAATTTAAAACGAAAATATATGTATATAATATGACTTTATTAAAAAGGGAAGTTCACAAAATAGTAATATCCCCATTAATATATATTTTTAGATAACATAAAATATATTTTCAAAATAATAAAAATATATATGTTTATGAACATTCAAAAATTTATCAGTTACACTTTATTTTTTAATATTTTTTAGAAATCAACATATAATTTGATATATATTATGAAAATACATGTATATTTAAGCGATAAATAAAACTATTTTGATTGGACTTAATTAAAATGAAAAGTAATTATACTTCAAATTTTAATTTAAAAATATATTTAACTCAATATACTTACAAAACGAATGACTCGACTAATTTAATTTATATCCAAAATTAAATATCTAACTACAATAAGAGCATATAACTTTATAATAATAATAATAATAATAATAATAATAATAATAATAATAATAATCTATTTAATTTTATACATATAAATTAGAGGTTGACTCAAAGCATATTAAAAAGAAAAATAAATATTAACCAATTACAATTCAATTCTTTTGTAGAATTTGTATATATTCATGAGACTTCAAAATATTATCATTATATTCATTTATGTAATTGTGAATTAAACACTTCAGCTTATTATTTATTTCATTTTAAGCACAATATATATTAAGTTATACATAATTTAACTATAGTATATTTATATATTTAAGACAATAACCAACCGAAAAATATGAAAATTAATCAAGGTTTTATTATATTTAGAATAAAAAAATATTATAGCTAAATTCGAAAAATGGATATTATCCAATATACCAAATTGATAACCAAACCAATTATTGATCCAAAAATAATTAAACCGAGAATAAAATATCCAAAGTCATATGTATAAGTAGAATAATATAATATTTATTAATATAAATTATACATATAAATTTATTCAAAACTAAATCTAAATATCAATCAATTATTATAAAAATTTACTTTTATAAATATTCATACCCGTGCATGAGCACGGGAAAATCACCTAGTTATAAAGTAAACAACGTGTTCCTTTTCTATGGTATAATAATAATCAAAAAACTATTGTAACGCGTGGAAGAGATTTATTCAACACATATGATGTAAATGTATTAATCGAAAGCAGTGAATAATATCTCTATAATATTATTTGAGAAGTCATTTTCTTAGGTGTCGCGCTCACATTAACTCTCCCGCTGGTTGATTACTATGATACTCTTAATGAATTAAAAATATATTTAAATATTATTATTTCCTTTTTAAAATCTTCAAAATAACAATATAAAATAAAAAGGAAATATTTATAAAATTTACAAAACTATTTAAAACGGAAAATAAGTATATATATAATATGGTTTCATAAAAAAAGAAAGTTTACAAAATAGTAATATTTAACTTAAATATATTTTTAAATAACATAAATTATACTTTTAAGTAATAAAATACTTTATATCTATATCTTCTTAGATGGAAAAAAATATTTGTATATAATGTGTTTTCATTAAAAAAAGTTCATACAAATAATCTTGATATTAGAAAAGAAATATTTTTCTTTAAAAATAATTTAAACAATAAAATATATATATTTTCAAATTAATTATTTTTGATATATCTATCTATTTTATTAGATTATTACATAAAATAATTAAGTAACATAAACTAATATATCTTTAATTGGCAAAAAAATTATAATTAGTATTATTGAAATATTTTTTTTAGTATATTTATTTGATTATAATATCATACAATTACAGCAAAAAAATATAAACTATATTTTACTTATATAATATAATTTCGCAAAAAAAATCACATTTTTACTACATATTTTAATAGATGTTAAAAACAAAACTAAAAATAAATTTAATAATAAACATCTTTTGATCAAATAACTACAATTCTTTTGATGTATCATAACATTATAATTTAACAAGGTAGATATATTATAATTAATAGTTAAAATTATATGTTTTCTTAATAACTCTTTTGATGTTTAATTTTCTGTTTTTATGTTTGTGGAATTTAATATAACTATAATCTAATACTTAAAGCAAATCAGAATTCCTTACTTTTAAAATTATTTAAAAAAAAATTCAGTTTATCATCCAATCAATCTATGGCATGAATTATTTAGAGTTTATAAAATATTTTAATTATTGTAAATATTGATATGTGTTCATAAGCTTTCAAAAATTTATTATTACTTATGTAATTTAGAATCAGACACTTTAGTTTTTATTTTTTTCGTTCTAAGCACAAAAAAATCTTAAAATACATAATCTTACTAAGATATACTTATATTTCGTAGATAACAACCAACATAAATGTAAATAAAATAATTAATCAAAAATTTAAGATATTTAGAATAAAAANTGTTCATAAGCTTTCAAAAATTTATTATTACTTATGTAATTTAGAATCAGACACTTTAGTTTTTATTTTTTTCGTTCTAAGCACAAAAAAATCTTAAAATACATAATCTTACTAAGATATACTTATATTTCGTAGATAACAACCAACATAAATGTAAATAAAATAATTAATCAAAAATTTAAGATATTTAGAATAAAAACGATTATAGTTGAATTCATAGAATAGAAAGAATCCAATATATAGATATATATATATATATATCAAAATGATAATACTGACTAAATATAATATATATAAAATTATAATAACTAAAATATATAATATTATTAATACAAATTATACATACAAACTATAAATTAATATAAAATTTAAGTAAATGTCAATCAACTATTATAATATATTTATTTCTTAAATATTTAAGCCCGTGCATGAGCACGGGAAAATCACCTAGTTTGCAAGTATATCGGAAACTATGACAAACTAATGGCGACTGGAGGAAGATCATGAATGTCTATCCTATTCTACGGGTACTTATTTTTATACTATATACTCTACATAAAATAGTATAACTATTTCAACAGTGTAAATGTTCATGATGCAAGGAAACACGATAATGCTTTAACGTAATCACTAACCCCTACTTGTTAATACTAAACCAAAAAAGATTCATGAAATCTTAAGGTAAAGAAGATGCCACTATACCGTCTTATTATCCCTAGAATTGCGAAAAAGTTTAATTTTCATGTAAGAAATCATATTAGGGCAACTCTAGAGAGTCTATTCTATTTAGTCTAGATACATTCCATATTGTTATATAGAAAAACATAAATACAAAGACGCTGACATGTGCGCTTGAGAAAAGACGATGACGTAGTCCATGGAATAAATGTTCAATAGTGAGTTACAGCTATTCCATTTTAGAGAGTAGGAGGAAGTCACGTAAATAGGTGGAGTAAGTAAATATAAGGACTTGAGTAAAAGCTTGTAAATGCTTACTTATTTTTTGCTAAATACACACATATATGCGGAGATCACATATATGGATGTATTTTTTATGTATATAGTAAGTCGTATATGACCCATGTAATGACAGACAATATGTTTGTGATACGGAACACCAGTTGATTTTTTAATTTTGATACTTTAAATGATGCCAATGTTAGGCTACTCGTAAAATATGTGCACTACATACTATAAATCAAATAGCACATTAGATGGTTTATGCCATGTAATACTATGTTATTGGGTACTAACAGCTTAAATCAATGGTCATATAATATAAATGTAATGATGGATTGATAAGAGAACACTTGTCACAAAACTGTAAACACAAGTTACATAAATAAAAACCCTCATCAATTGAAAAGCACAGTTTTCTGAAATTAAACTAACCTTCTCGCAAGTGTTTTATAAATAGTACGTGAGAAAACCTTTAAAACGTTATAAACACTAAACAAAAATTAAGGAAATATAAACCCAAAGCAAGTGACGACAACATTGTTGATGAATTAAACCCATCCGCCAGCATACCAGAGACTTATATTTACCTACCTCGGAGACATGGCAGCTGCCAATAAAAGTGATAGCAGTCTCTCATGTACTATGCTACTATAAAAAATTGGTTTCTCTACAAAGAGCCACCAGAGATGAAATTCTTTCTCAGTAACCAGCTGCCGTGTCATAATATAATG